ATTAATTAATTTCCGAAATCCTTCATAGTGGTACTATACACTGAAAATCACATTTCTTTCAGCAAGAAAAATTAGGCACCTAGCTCATCTGATGGTGGTTGGAGATTAGTACGGTCGAAGACCGCCAATCTCCACCCGCCACCTTGGCAAAACGAGCCAAGGATTCGAGAGAGACCTCCGAGGGGTACCCTCGGAGGCGTGTCTCTTTTACCAAATACGAAGTGGCTGAAAGAGTGGCGCTGTCATCTGTCGAAAGTCTCCACATGCGTAGCATCGAACCCGTTAAATTACCCTTTTCGGAGAGAACGAAGAATAATCCTGCATACTCTGAATATGGATCCTCCCGTCGTTCTTCAAATGCACCTGGTTCCTCGTTCTAGGATAGATATGGAGTCTCCGCGGCGTGGGCTCAATCAACACCCTGCAGCCTAAGAAGTCCCAAACATTGTACCCACCATCCTTTCGTACCATTTTCAGTGATTGCGGGTAACAAAGTTCAAAACTGTCAGCTATGGCCTTAGCCCTGGCTCTAGATCGCTCATTGGACATCGTGTATGCTATGAAGAATGAGACGTTGTGACGCCCAACCTCACGCCCAGCGCGACTTCTTGATCGGAGTAGGATGTGGGCCTGGAAGTGCGAAAAGGGGTGTGCCAAGGATTTTTGGGAAAAGTGGAGTCCCAGGTCAGAAGTGAGATCTCCTATGACAGGGTCTTCGGGGGCACGAGTGCAATTTGGCGGAGAGGGGGGATCGCTTAGGGTTACAAGGCAGATGGTATGCGCGGGTCGCTCAAGACCGAGCGAGCCGTTGGTTTCGGGGACGGCGGTTCGCGAGCAGGTCTCCTCGGGGTAGGTGGGGTTCTGATGAGTCAGGATGTCGGGAGTTGCCACATGGCGCTGGTCGTCGCGCGTTAGGGTTAGGCCTCTGGAACTCCGGGGTTCTCTGATCGCCTCGTCGTCGACAGTTCCCGCAGGGTGTGCTGGGCCAGTAGGGGGCTATGGCCGTCCACGGGACGACGCTGAGTTGATGATACGGAAGAAGAAGGCAAAAGAGAGGGAAACTGGTGGTGATAACGACAAATCCGGGGTGGATGAAGTAGTAGGTATGGTCCGGAGAAGGGAAATCAGAGCACCGGGGGTCGCTAGTGGTGGCGCAGTGGAATTCCCGAGGACACAATCGGTTCTCAGTATGGCAGGGGTATCTCTGTCTCAGGATTTCGTTTATCCAAGGGGTGAAGTAATCTGGGTCGTATGATGAGTCGGAATTCCAGAATCGCGTCATTGTGTCATTGCGGTATTATGAGTTGCCTAAGGGCGGGTCCGCGGCGATCGCGATTGCCGCGTGCGAGCACGTGCAGGCCACGCGAATGACGTCGGACTTACACGTGCTCGTGCGGGACGACTGCGCCGTTGCGGATTCCGGGATGGCCCCCCCGAGTCCAATTGGACAGGGCACCTGCGATCGATGGCCCTGACGAGTCGACGCCCGGGGATACGTGTAAGTGCGCAACTCAGATCGCGTTTTACACGTGTCCTCGCGCGGCATTTGCCAAGCCCGGCGTCCGATCGTCTAATCATTCCGTGCTGTTCTGAGCATGCAAGATGCAACGATCACAACCAGCTTGATCAAAAGACAAGCAAAGACAAGGACAGGATTATCGATTGCGCAAAATTCCTATTCTACACACGAGTGCATCGAATGCGACAAACAAAAGCAAAGACAAGGGTTCCTCAGCAAAAAGATAGGCAATCAAACATGGCATCCATACATCCATCCATTCCGTAATCACACATATAACACATCAGAGATGGAAGAATCGCGAGGGCAAACGTGAGCAAAAACCCAAGCCCAGATTCCGGGAAACAGAAAGGGAAAACAAAAATGGGCGAATCGCCCGGAGCCGTAAATCAAAATTTATGTACACAGGCAAAGAGGGGGGAAAGACAAAGAATCAACAAATCCACGTCCATCCACCTCAAGTCTCTCTTTCTCTCTCTCTTCTTCTCCGATGCGGACAGTCCGTCGTCGTGCACCAACCCACGAAGCCGTCGCCCCGCTTAGTCCTCCCGCACCCGTCAAGTTCGCCCGTGCCCACAGTCCGTCGCGGCCAACGTCAACCCCGCGCGTTTGGCACCAGCTCGTCGGGTCGCCCGACTCCTGCTCTACTCACCTCTTACTTCGCTTGTGTGCCGACCCTCTCTGATCGCGCAACCTCGAGCTTCCAACAGCTGGTTAAGAGAGTTAACTAATCGCGCAGCCGAAATTTATAGTGTGCATGCATGCGCGAAGAACACGGAATTACCAAGACTTGGAAGAAGGGAAGGGGGAGGGATTGCCTACATCTGCATGGTCTGATCGCGGCGTGGGGGACGTAGCCGCTCTCCACGCATCGATCCGATCATGCAAACCGCGGCTACCAAAACGCAGCAAAAGAAAGAGAAGAAGGGCGGGAAAGACGAAGCGCAAGAAGAAAGATACAGTTACAATGGCACCCGCCCAAAATTACAGTTCCACACACGATTAAAGGCGCCTACTAATCAGAGTTCCGTTGCAGCCGTATGAAGAAGCGCGTAGACAAAAAGCGTCGCGAGGCAAGGAAAATCCTAATTACAAAATTCCTAAATTCCTATCTAATGCGAAAAAGCAAAAAACACAAATTCCAGAAGAAAAGTCCAAAATTTCGAGAGCCATCGGGGCTCGACAAAATTCGAAAAATATTTAAAAGAAAAATTCAAAAAGAACGAAGCAAATTCCCGCGCGGTGTCCGTGCCCAAAAGTTTGGCACTGAAACGAAGGAAACGACGTCAACATTTATCAATCGCGTGCGCGTTGGCGGGCCAGCCATCCGTTCAACCCATCAATCAACCGGCCATTCTAGGACACACCCAACTCCGAACCCAGCCATTTGAAAAGAAGCGACGAAAAATTCGAAAAAGCAAGGACACTGATGCAATTTCTCACCGATCCCGATCTCCCGTAATTGGCCCAACCTTCCCAACTTAGGACCCCTCATTGCAACCGCGCAGAAAGTCGCACGTTACAGAAAGTGGTTCGTCACAATGTCATCAATCAATCTCACACCTCCCACTTGTCTCTTGTCCCTTCCCAGTGAATTAAGGAAATCGGATTCAGACTTTGCACAAAGTACATCAGCGATCGAAGGGGAGGAGCTCTTCCCCATAGGGATCCTGAAAACTTGGTTGTAGACCTTACCCATACAGATGATGTAGGCTTGCGACAAATCAAAATTGAGAAGGGACATGATTGTCCTAAAGGAAATGACCACACAACCATCGCCAGGCCTAGAGTCCCTGGCTAATCTACATACCTTACCGCGCATAGATAATTTTACCGCTGCCACACCTCTCCTTTGGTGATAGTTGATCAACCAGGAGACTGCTTCAATTATGAAGTCGTGAGGCAACCTCGAGAACATATCCTTAATGTCGAAACATCGGGCCTCAACCGCATCCCCTCTGCTACTTAGCGACCGTACAGCGGATTGCATGTCGTCCCTCAAAGCATCCGTCGATCAAAGGCTGAAATGCATTCCAGACTGCAGGCACAACAACATATATCTCAATGCCCTGCCAAGCCTCGCACTTGCTGTGCGCGTCGACTCCATCCTGGAAGGCGAGATGGGTCGCCATCTATCGAGGTCTTTATCCTTAGGTAACACATAGGCTCTCCCCACATGTCCCCCCGTTCTCCAGTATGCTGTTGTCTGCAGATCTTCCTTCAGAAAATCTTCCTTCGTCTTCATCATTACCAGCTGTTCGTCGCCTATCACCGACATGAAACCTGCGTTCCAGCAGAATGTCATTTGGAACGCATAGAGGTACAGCGCAGGGCAAATAGCTAAAGTCGCTCGAGGGTTCCTATCGATCGGAACCAAGACAAGATTCTTGAGCTTGCCTATCTCATCAATGACCTGCTGCTCAGTCATCGATTTATAAACGGCTGTTGGCTTGGAGCAACAGCGAATCAGATCATCCTGCCGGATAATCGTCTTTCTCCACGCAGCTGGAACAGCTTGCATCACCAATTTCCTCAGCACCCCTGGACCAATATGCCTGCCCACACAGATATTGCGAGAATTCTTGACAAACTTTGAGAGCCCTTCGATCTCGTCCAGCCTAACCCGAACATGACCGTGGTGCCTGGGTAGTGAAAAACCCAAGCATGTGCACCTAGGGTCAGCTGCTAGCAGCTTCTCCCTGTGATTGGGGATAAGAGAAGCAACTGTCTTTGCTTTCAAAAACACTACGCGTACTTTCTCTAAGACGAGAGACAAAATATCTCTACATGCTATGTTGTCCTTAACGATACTGCACGTCAGCTGCCTAACAACTCGCTGGTCTATTTGCGGAGAGAACGACAATTTCACAATCACATGTCTCTTCACATCTACACCCGAAACGACTTTGATAACGTTCGCTATCTTCGTACGGAGAGTCGATCTAGTGTTCTTCCGAGAGAAAAGTGTCGCAGTCCGGTAGAATGCTACCAACTTGGTAGTAGTCATCTTGTACAGCGATGAGAACCTCCATGGTTGTGAAAGTACTTCTTGTAGGAATCTCTTCGTCCTTTGTAGTGCAGTTGAAGTTCTCACTGCCTTAATGATCCGGAAGACACAACCCTTTTGCAATTTTGTCCGTATCCCTCGCAACTCCATCCGACGTCCAGCGAGGTTCACTACCGATCTTTTGTACTACTGATTCAGCTTCTGCCAGGTGTCCGCCCAAAATGACCATGGGTTGGACCGTACAGGTGTAGTTGGAGTCACTATTCTGCCGTCCTCCAGTGGTCTGAGTAGTGAGATATGCGTTCCCCCTTGGATAGTAAAGGTCACGAACCTTTCCTGCACAGTTGGTGACCTTCCACCGCTAGCAGTCGTTCTTCTTTCTCTGCGTCCTTTCCGATTTCTCCCTTTCGAACCGGTCTTCTTCCCAATAGTATTAAGGATCGCAGAGAACCTCCTTATAAGGGCAAGCTCTGGTGATCCTGGATCTTCCACCCCGGCTACCAGCGGGATTGCAACGTACATCTCCCACCCAAAAAACCGCAACCAACTATGCAACTTGGGGACATTTCCAGTATTACCTGGTTTAGAGCATCGAATATGCTCGGCCCATCTAGTGATAATCTTCCTAGTCGTACACCCAATGTCGAAATGTTTGCAAAAAGGACTAACTACTGCATACACTCCTGCCAGGTTAACGTCCGCCACAACTGGGTCGATCAGATATAGTAGCTTGTTAAACCAGGGATTCAGGGAAAAACCTTCTACTAGCTAAGAGAAGAAACAATAAGATTATCTCATTCTCAACGCATCCTAGCAGAACTGTAGAAGTGGTAGACTGCCCTCCAACTCCCGAGTCTTCCTCGACCTCATCAAAGATCCCAACCTGGTAAGTACGTGCTGGGTGGACCATTCGATCGCCGCTTGAGAAGCCATCTTCACGTAATTCGTCCACGCCTGGGATCACAGATTATACCCCTCGAAACGAGAGTCATTTCCCGGGAATCTGCTCCACAGGTGATTTCGATCCCGGTGTCTGATCGATGAGACCATCGAACGCCAGTTTTGTACGATTGCATACGATCTCTTCAATAGCTTGGTCCTTCTTGATGTAGTCAACTCCTTCATGATCGCAGACCTTCTTGATCTCTTGCACCTTCATCGTGTTGAGGACTCGAGTCTGGGTCAAAGCATATTCAACCATGCTTTCACCCGAACAAGAAGCCGCGTACACCTTCTTGGGGGTCCCTTGATCCGTGCCCGCTGCTTCAGAGTGCTCTCCTTCATACATCTTCTCTTTCCCTTTGGTGGGTGTGACACGTTTCCCTTGCACGACGGGTTTTCTTCGCTGCTTCCTTCTTAGTTCCAGTGCATCAATTAACTTGCTCGCCTCTTCCCGCACCTCCTTGCTATCGTCCTCAGACTCGTCAATGTAGCTCCGAATTTCTCTGAGTACCTTCGCTTTCGTCCTTGGTGACTTCTTCTTCGACACGATCTTTGGTGGAGGAGCGATCGCTGGCGGCTCAGCTCTACTTGGCAGTTGGGAAAGAAGGCGCATGATGGTAGATTCCAGACGCGCTTCTCTCGCCTCTGCTTCACGTATCTTCTCCGATTCACGACACTCCTCCTCTATACGTCTCTTCTCTTCTTCGGCTTCCTTGATCTTGCGTTCCTCCTCCTCCTTCTGGCGCTGCATCATCGTCCTGAACCACTGCCTCATCTCCGAGCTCTCATCATCATTCTTGATCGGAGTAGTACGACTCCCTGCTTGCCAACAATTCCGCGCGTAGTGGCCCGTCTTGCCACATACGTAGCAGGTAATCGTCCCGAACTGGTTCCCAGGAGTAACTCCCGGGGTACCGTTCGGTGCTGCCATGCCGATCCCTATGTAGGGTCCTTCTGATAACGCGAACCGCGTTGATCACTGCAGCATACACGCTGTCAAGCTCCTTGTATACGTTCACCAACAGCGGTGCAACCTTGGCTTTGTAGTACCTCGGCGCCCTTCTCGTCTTCTTGGTAAGCAGCCGTAGTATCTCCGCGAAGTTGTCGTACAGTGCAATCCTCACTTCTTCAAGACACTGCAGCAGACTCACTCTTGCCGTAGTGCTATGCCTACCAGGTATCAGCAAATTATAGATAATTGTCCCGACGATCACGCGTAGAGTGCGCCTTAGCTGCCTCAATCTCCGTAAGTCTCTAAAAATGTGCAAAGTCCTTCGCAGTCCCGCCTTCATTGCCCTAACCACTAACTACCACCTGGCCCCCAAACAGATCCGGGCAGATCCCGCCTACCCTCGACCATTTCCCCTTCCTTCTTCTTCCCTCCTACCCGTCACCTTCTTCTTCCCCGACTCCTACTTTGCTTCCTCAACTCCTCGAACTCCCGCGGCCACCGTAGCAGCAAGACTGCATACACCGGTTGCCACGTCTCCCCGAGATCAGGGAACACAAAGACAGAGGCAGAAAAACTGTCCACGCGATCGGAGGGCAAGAGAAAAGCACACCACACAGCACACGCATAGAAGCACACCACGCAGCATACTCATAACTCAAAACCAGACACCGATCTCAAAAATCTGTACGCTTCCCTCAACATGTTTCATTCCAGGCGTACACWGGAMATCGTCAGGAGGACAAGATGCTGTGAGATTGTGCCCAGAATCTCACTCTAATATAGTACCATCTACCCRAACCCATCCRTACCCTCGCAACCCTTTCTTCCTMTTCTTCCAGTCCTTCATTGCTGAATCCTTCCGCCACCCRCCCMAATCCCCGCTGCTARCTCCTCTAYGCATTTTCATGACTAACTTAYGATGWGACTGCTGCACCCTGCTAYGCCTGACTGCGTTATATCAGTTTTTTGATTGTCGCKTGCAYRCGATCCTACCAAGGACGTTTGATCTCCTGGTGCAACGCGCRCTCGATGTCTGCCGAAGAAACGTTCAGGAGCCTTAATCAGATGTTCACCCAGAGAAAATCACATGGTCTGGATCATAGCAAAAATACATRCATATATTGRTTTAGGCCTGGCTCCAGTCCCRGCGGSGTTGAACCCACCCAGAGCCTYWAAAAAACATYGTGGTTYTGTCGTTCGTACCAGTATGTCAGCGGATCCTACGCTGAGAACCCGCGGGTCCGATATTCCRAAAAAAAACGAATGCACCGAGTGTGCTCAAATTCMGGCTAGCCTTGTGCTCAGAAAAATAAATTAATTAATTTCCGAAATCCTTCATAGTGGTACTATACACTGAAAATCACATTTCTTTCAGCAAGAAAAATTAGGCACCTAGCTCATCTGATGGCGGTTGGAGATTAGTACGGTCGAAGACCGCTAATCTCCACCCGCCACCTTGGCAAAACGAGCCAAGGATGAGAGAGAGAGAGAGAGAGAGAGAGAGAGAGAGAGAGAGATGGATGGATAGATAAGTAGATAGATAGAACAGAAGATTGAGCGAGAAATGGATGGATAAATATCTTCAAACCCCTGTCACAGTCGCGTCCTCCATCATCTATCGAACGGAATGCCGGTCGATGACGGATGAAGGGGATGGCTGGAGACGTCCAATGCCGTCCATAGCTCATGGCGTGATTGGCGCACGCGCGCCAGCCATGGCCGTTCATCGAATGGATGGTGGCTAAGCCCACGTGGCGTCGGTACCGGTTCACCCTGCAGGGTCCAAATTACACCCTGCACAGACCCGCACAACTGCGTCCGAGGACAAAACGATGCACAAAAAATTCCGCTGATAAAAAGAAAACCAAACCAAAAAAAAACAAACAGTAGTTCTTTAGAACCGTATGGCCGGCACACACAACTTGTACAATTGGACCATTGTCCGATGGGATGGACCCTCGGGGAGGCCGAAGTGCCACTTCCGGAAAGTACCGCGTGCGGTACTCCGAAAAATCGAATGACGTTTCGGTCTCCCAGGCTGGGCAAAAGTTGGAGTGCACAGTGATTTTAGGCTGGAGATCAATCACTGAGAAGGGTACTGGTGGTTTAGGAATGATTGGATGAGTAATCAACCCAACATGTCCCAGATCAGTGGGCCCCAGTTCCCACATGGGACTCTTCCTTCCCATGTGGAGGAATGAAGAGAGATGGTTGACTGAGGGCCGAAAATTCGCAGTTTTCGGCACCAATTTTGGTGCAAAATTCCAAAAACAAACGATATGGGCCCATAGTGCAAACACCAGAAAAACAAACAGGGCAAAGAAAACGAGCAAAAAAACACAAAAAGTTCAAAAACACTTTCCGAGTTAAAATGAAGTGTTCAACTAGTTCAACGAAATGCCAACTTTTTCATTATTGATCATGTATCCAGTTTTGACATGTTTGGAATCTTTGGATCAATAATGAAAAAGTTGGCATTTCATTGAATTCATTGGACGCTTCATTTTAACTTGGAAAGTTTTTTGGTGTTAGGGCTTTCTAGTGTTTTTGTGTTTTTTTTGTTCGTTTTCTTTGCCCTGTTTGCTTTTTGGTGTTGGCACTATGGGCCCATATCGTTTGTTTTTGGAATTTGCTGCTGAATTTTGCATCAAAATTGTCAGCAAAAACGGCAAATTTTTGGAGCGATGGTCAATGGAAGGCCCAAAATTCGGGGGGGCTTGCTGCAATACCACAAGCAATGTCGTCAGAAATTTCACGAACAAACAATGCAGGCTCATGTCTTGTATTGAGACAGTTTTGGAGACATGTTTGGTGGGTCACTTGCGTGCCCCAGTTCCCTTGTGTGTCTGTGTATACCATTCATTCCTCCAGTGGCACATGGTAAGGAAGAGTCCCACGGGAAGATGGTTACTCGATACATGATCAATAATGAAAAAGTTTGCCCCAGATCAGCGGTCCCCATAGTGCAAAAAACGAAAAAATCATCTTGAAATTTCGAAACTGGATACATGCTCCAGCTCCCTTGTGTGTCTGTGTATACCATTCATTCCTCCAGATGGAAAGGAAGAGTCCCATGTGGGAACTGGGGCCCGCTGATCTGGGACATGCTGGGTGGATTATTCATCCAATCATTCTTAAACCACCAGTACCTTTAGGGTTTTATGGTGTTTTTGTGTTTTTTTGTTCGTTTTCTAACTTTTATTTGCCCTGTTTGTTTTTTTGGGTGTTTGCACTATGGGCCCATATCGTTTGTTTTTGGAATTTTTGCTGAATTTTGCACCTGGTCCAAAATTGTCGGCAAAAACGGTGAATTTTTGGCCCTCAATTAACCATCTCTCAAATCTTTGCATTTGACCCCTGTCAACAGGCTGTCAGGGGTTTGCCAAGTTCGTGTTATATCGCTTTCAGGGGCAGAATGCGAACTTAAGGGGGGATGATGGAGGGAGAGATGGTGGAGAGATGAGGAGTGTCATTGCTTCCAGCTTGTGTTCATCTTCTTCTTCTTCTTCTTCTTCTATTCTTCATTCTTCTTCTTCTGATTCTCTTTCCAATCTCTTTCCTTTCAGTTACTATTGAACAGCGTTGTGTCTTTTTAAGTCTTGCACTGTGAGATTTCCAGGCCCTGTGACCTGTTTTGAAGCAGGAGCATGAGGCCTGGTAGAGAGATCTGGGGATTTGTCGAGGGAGGAAGGCAATCCAGTGGCGAACTAGGAGGCACTACCAAGACAACCTTTGAGGCCGGGTATAGTTTTGGTAGTGAGAACACGACAGCGATGGCAGGTATTGGGCAGGTTGATTTTATCTTTGGAGTACTGAGTCCGGTTTAGGGGAAAGCTAGGAGTTGCTCATTGATTATGAGGCTGCGAGTTGCGGATGTAGTTATCATCTATGTCATCATCATCTGATTTACTAATCTCCATCATCTTTAGCATCATCATCATTAGTATCATTATCTCACAGTTTTCATAGAACATCATCATCATCAGCAGCAGCAGCAGCAGCAGCATTGCAATCATCATCAAATGAGGGGTGCTGACTCGCCCGGTTCTCGGCATGTTCTGTTCACGCACTCCGGGTAGACTGTGAGGACCCCGGCCTCAATCTTCTTATTTTATATTAAAAAAAAAAAAAAAAGATCACTACATGTTCAGTTGCGGAAAAAAAAAAAAAAAAAGGATCATAACACCCCTAACTTCCCTAAAAGATGTGGGTAGAGTGGAATACCCCTATAACATTTCAAAAGTTTGTGAAATGCCCTTTTGGATTTAAATCTTTGCATTTTACCCCTGTCAACAGGCTGTCGGGGGTTACCAAGTTCGTGTTATATCCCTATCAGGGGCAGAATGCAAACTTAAACCGCCCGTACCTTTCCCATACATAGGTTGGGGGCCCTGCGCGCCAAGCATTTGGGATGAATCTGGCCGGCACGTGTGCCCAGGGACGCCCTCCGTGTTAACCGGCGGGCAATTTTTTTTCGCCTGGGAAAGGTACTCGCAGTTTAAGTAACCCACTGACAGCGGTAGAACGCAAACATGTGAATCCAAAAGGGCATTTCAAGAGGCTCTGAAATCTCAGAGGGGTATTCCGCTCTACCCATCTCTCTTAGGGAAGTTAGGGCCCTTAGGGGTATTGTAGCACATCCGTGAACTTTCAGGGGCGTTTAAAAAATTTCCCCTTTATTATTCTGCCAATGAATACAGACCAACAGGACAAAGTAGGTACCAAACAAAATCATAGTGTCCTGTGTACCTGGTATCATCACCGTCGTAATGTTCCCCATATCGAATGCATCCTCATAGCGCCTGGCCCAGCGCGGTTGCGTCCCGTTCTTGTATGCATAGAACCTGGACAGATAGTCAAAGTAGGAGTAGATGCCCAACAGATAATCTCCAGTTCCAACGTTTTTAGCCAAGCCCAAAACGTTGTAGGCGATGTCCGAAAGGTTCTGGAAGGCCACAGGATCAGAGATGGCAACACCATACAGGAAAACCGCTGGGGGTGCTGGTGTCTGTGGAGCAGTAGTGTTGTAAGCCTTGATGACTTGGACAGCATTCTCCACGCCCACATTGCCAAACGTGAAAACGAGAAGAACCTGTGATCCTCCACAAAAAGGAGGAGAAAAAACCGGAAAACAAAGAAAAGACAGTAGAAACAAAAGAAGAACAAAGGTGTTGAACCACCAGTACCTCTCCCAGCTATCAAGTCCGAGCCTCCCGCTACCAGTAAGCCGAGCCTTGCGGAGCCTAGAGGTACC